CCATCCATCCATCCATCCATCCATCATCCATCCATCCATCCATCCATCCATCCATCCATCCAGTATCTTATTAGATGTCCTATCATTGTGATCTTTTCAGGATCATTTGAAGAAGGTAACAGAACAGCACCCAGATGATGTCGAAGCCTGGATTGAATTGGCTGGTATTCTTGAGCAGACAGATGTTCAAGCAGCCCTAGAGGCGTACGGCACATCATCCAATCTGTTGAAAGAGAAGGTACAAGCTGATGTACCACCAGAAATACTGAACAATGTTGGTGCTCTTCATTTCCGTCTTGGGAATCTGAAAGAAGCCAAGGTAGGAAAGCTTTCCTGGATAAATACTAGACCACACCACATTTAGTTTTTTACTAATTTTACAATTAGTTCTATTCATACAAATTGTATTTTTATTTTTCTTAGCGATTTTACGAGTCAGCCCTGGAAAGGTCCAAACAAGAAGCACCTAATGACGAGGGCTACTATAACGCCATCTCAGTCACTACGAACTATAACCTGGCGAGATTGTTTGAGGCCATGTGTGAGATAGAGAAAGCAGAACAGCTGTATAAGAGTATCCTGAGAGAACATCCCAACTATGTTGATTGTAAGTATGAGAAAGCAGATATGATGATAATATTGGTGGTGATGATTATGTTGAACAATGATGGTAGTGATGATGTTGATGATGATGATGGTGATGATGTTGATCATAATGATGCCTGATGATGATGGTGGTGGTGATGTTGATGATAATAATGCCTGATGATGATGATCATGATGATGCCTGATGATGGTGGAGGTGGTGATGTTGATGATGCCTGATGATGGACATGATCATGATGATAACTGATGATCATGGTGATGCCTGATCATCATGATCATGATGATGCCTGATGATGCTGGTGGTGTTGATGTTGATAATGATGATGGTACCTAATGATGGAAATGGATGTAATGATGGTAATGCCGATATTGATGATGGTGATGGCTGTGATGATGGCAGTGATGATGGAGAATATCTTTCATGGTAATGATGAAGTTGATGAACATACAAGATATTGTGTGTTAGTCCCCTACACAGCAACTATTAGTGTCGTAACTCAACGCTCACTCCCTGAGATAGCTACTTAGGGGAGTGAGCGTTGTGTAGCGACACTAATATAGGCTGCATAGGACACTAATTGTGTGTAGACCAAGTCTACAAATACTGCATTTCCTCCTCCTCTTCTTAGGCTACCTGAGACTGGGATGCATGGCCCGAAATAGGGGCCAAATCTACGAGGCTTCTGATTGGTTCAAAGAAGCATTACAGATAAACCAGGTAACCAATCATGCTGATATTCCCCTCTTCATCTTGTTAAATTAGTCATAATTCAGGGCCCGGTTGTACGAAGCCTGGATAGCGCTATTTGGCGGATAAATCCTTATCCAGTGGACTGATAAGTCGATGCTGTTATTCAATAAATTTATCCACTGGATAAGATTTATCCGTCGGATAGCGCTATCCAGGCTTCGTACAACTGTGCCCAGGTGTTAATTTTATTTCTGAGGTCCATTTTGACACAACTGCTTGGTTAAGGGGGTAGAGTCACTTTCCTATCATCACGTGTTCATTAATAATAATTATTACACTATTAAACCTGAAAAACTGGTTTCTATCAGGATCACCCTGATGCTTGGTCTCTGATTGGTAACCTCCATCTTGCTAAACAAGAATGGGGTCCAGGGCAGAAGAAATTCGAGCGAATCCTCAAGCAGCCATCGACGGCTAACGATGCATATTCGCTGCTGGCACTGGGGAATGTCTGGTTACAGACCCTTCACGCTCCATCCAGGGATAAGGAGAAGGAGAAGCGACATCAAGACCGTGCTCTGTCACTGTACAAACAAGTGTTGAGGAATGATGGAAGAAATTTGTATGCTGCTAATGGCATAGGTAAGAAGAACATTTAACGTCTCTTCTCCCAGGGGGGTGATAACTTGGGGGAGGGAGAGCTGCTGTGCTAATGGTGATTGTTGATTGTGCTGCTGACGGTAATAATGGTGGTGGTGATGGTGATGGTGATGATGTTGATTGTTGATTGTGCTGCTGACGGTAATAATGGTGGTGGTGATGGTGNGCTGCTGACGGTAATAATGGTGGTGGTGATGGTGATGGTGATGATGTTGATTGTTGATTGTGCTGCTGACGGTAATAATGGTGGTGGTGATGGTGGTGGTGATGGTGATGATGTTGATTGTTGATTGTGCTGCTGACGGTAATAATGGTGGTGGTGATGGTGGTGGTGATGGTGGTGGTGATGGTGATGATGTTGATTGTTGATTGTGCTGCTGACGGTAATAATGGTGATGGTGGTGGTGGTGGTGGTGGTGATGATGTTGATTGTTGATTGTGCTGCTGACGGTAATAATGGTGGTGGTGATGTTGGTTGGTGATGATGATAGTTATGGTGATGGTGGTGATTGTCATGATTATGATGTTGGTGATGATGACGATGGGTGAGGATTACGGTAATGATGATGATGATGATGAGAGTGATGATAATAGTGGTGTTGGTGGGCGTGGTGTTGTCAATGATAGTGATGATAGATCTGTAATCCCAACAGGATGTATACTCGCTCACAAAGGATATCTAAGAGAGGCAAGAGACGTCTTCTCTCAGGTAAGACTCGACTCTCTTTCCTCAAGAGTGTATTTCAAACATGCCCACATTCGTAAGCATATGTAATAAGATCGACAAAACGCAAACTGGCTTCAAATCAGATTCTGATTCATATTCTGCTGGAATAGACCTCCTCGGCTCTGGCGTAATGTTGTCCCATTTCAGACCACGGACCACCATGTCATGCCCTAGAGCATCATTTCTTTGTTTAAGGTTTGTGCTCGGTTGCACCTGAGAAGACACATGAATATGGATACAACTCAAACAAAGAATATTATTCTCAAGGGAATGACACGTGGTCTGAAATGGGACAACATTACCCAAAGCCGAAGAGGCATATATCTCACATGATCACTTTACCCATAATCCTTCAAGGTGCGTGAAGCAACAGCTGATGTCCCGGATGTGTGGCTCAACCTGGCACACATCTACGTGGATCAGAAGCAGTATGTATCAGCAATACAGATGTATGAAAACTGCTTGAGGAAGTTCTACAAGCACTTTAACACGGAGGTGATGCTGTACCTCGCGAGGGCCTACTACAAGATGGGCAAACTACAGGAATGTAAACAAGTTCTTATTAAGGTGAGAAGAACAATAAGTCTATGCACTCAATTGAAATTTGGAGACCAATTTAAATGACTATTGTTCGGCACTGACTAGCGAGTATATGCTGCATGTCAATACCGTACTTTCTCACTCATACGAAAACCGTTCTGATGAAAGATATAGTACTCAAGGGATAGGCCCTTTGCAGCTCAGTGATCACGTGCTGATTAATTCACTGACAGCAAATGAATGAACATCTTGATTCCCATGGGTGAAATATACTGGTGAGCAAACACACTTTCTATAACCTGTTGTGAGAGATCGTGATAAGACTGCATTTCGTAACACATTGGTTGGACATCATTTCATTCAGTTCTTTACAAGTAGCTAAAAAGAATCACCAATTAAAATAAAAACAAAACTTTTGCTCTCCAGTACAGACACATGACCGTTAACTGCAAAGGGCCTATTAGTTGAAAAGATCTATGGGTTTTTGTTTAGGGTCGTCACGTGGCTCCTAATGACACCGTTCTGCTCTTCAACCTGTCTCTGGTTCAACAAAGACTTGCCACTGCTATCCTTAGGGCGGAGAAGAGTCCCTTGAAGGTCGTGTTGGGTGCAGTAAGAGAACTGCAACAAGCACAGAGGTACTGTGGGAGTTCGCATTTTCCATCTAACAGGGGAGGGGTGGGAAATTCTTTAGAGGGGAGAARAGTCACTTGAAGGTTGAGTTAGGCACAGTAAAAAAACTATTATTGTTTGTCTTGCTTTCAGGAATTTCTCTTGGCTCAGTCATTATGGTGACCGTATGAAGTTCGACTTGGCGTGGGCTGCTTTCGAAACTAGGTTGGTTGATTTGGTCATTTCCTTCTCTCGTAAAATCATTACCAGGGTTATTTTCAACCTCTTTTTTTTTTTTGCACCTAAGAAAAATTCCATTCAAAAAAAGAAAGAACGAACGAACGAAAAAAGGAATATGAAATTAACGAGAATACAAAATTTCAAAAACGTGTTCTATTGATTAAATTCTATTTTCCCGCCTCTTTTAGTTTGCCAGGCGCGTGTACCATATACCGGAAGTCACTCTTTTCTTTGGGAAAGCGCGCGTACTACTTACCGGAAGTCGATGTTTTCTCCAGAATTTGGTTTCATAATCTCAAGAGAAAAAAATATTTTAATGTCATAATACTGTTTGTTAATGTTTTGAATAAAAATTTTTGATAAAGATATTTTTATATTTTTATCAAAAAAATAACTTGAAATCTCTATTCGTAGGCACACTAGTGATTTGCTGAGTCAAGCTCAGTACCATGTGGCGCGCGCGCGTAAACTCGACGAACAGACACAGGAAATCCAACGTAAACAGGACGAAGAGAAAGAAGCTATTCGACGTCAAAGAGAAGAGGAGTTGGTAAGAGATGGGAATGTAACGTTTTTACACTCGCTTCTCACCTCTAGGATCTCGCGTTCATTTCCCGAGTAGAATTTGTTAGGTCTCTTTCTTGATTCAAGAGTTTTTTCCCCGGTCCTTCTGTTTTCCTCCCTCCGCAGAACCCATCACACTAAAGTATCATTGGTGATGGTGGTGGTGATCAGAACCCA